ACTGCATGAGCGTATGAAGTCAACAATTGAATATTTTCATCAGTTTGCTCCGGTATTTTTTTTTTTGCCGAGGCTTTTTGAAGTAGCTGAAACTTTTTGTGGTGACCGACGGAAACGGTTTACCGTGGAATTAGGGATGTCTATAATCTTGATAAATTATTAGCCTTTAGCATATCCACGTCGTGAGCACGGGACGAGTAAGACCAATGTCCTTCAGTATGCACGGACAACGAAAACATTAATTTGAACAGGGAAATTCAGTTGCGGCGAAAATTATGGTTAATGGGTTGTATACCAAGAATACCAGGACCGCCTTTTGGCAATCAGTGTGGATGCCCCATATTAATAATATTGCTGGGACTTCAACCCTTCTACGTGCAATCTCCGGTTGCAAATTATGGCATATTCTACTTCCTTCCCAAGTTGTCAACTTTTTCTTTGTTAATACTACCTCTTTTGCAATTTGACGGCAGATGTAGCGACACTTTGCATCACCTTCGTTTTCGATGCTCTTTTTTTAAGACCTGCTCCATTACTTTGTCGTTAAACTTTAACAGCATTTCATTTATCTCGCAAGAGCTTCTCGCAATAACTATGTTATGTTAGTCGCGGAGCGCAAATGGTTAAGCTGCTTCACATCATCTTCTTAGGCCAGCTTCTGATACTTACTTGAGGCTGGCCATGAAAAGCTTGAGCGATATGGGATCGTTTTGCTTCACGTCTCTTTCGATCGGCGTATTAATTGGGATGAAAAGACGTGTTATGTTCGTCAAGCAGCTTGTGCCCGCTCCATTAAAATTATTTACGTAGTTTCCGGAGCAGAGCATTCCATGGGCAACGGGAAGACAAAGCCTTGCCTGTTCTAGCAACTAGTTTAGAGCAAAAATGTAGTCCGTCGTTCCGTAATTCAGTGGCTGATGGAAATGCAAAGGAACGGGGAAAGGCACACGCACTTAGAGTTGAAACTGCGAGTTGTGTTTGTTCTCCATCTTTGAATTGAAATTATTTTTTACAATATTTTTAGGTGGTTGAAAGTAGATTGGCCGCACAGAAGAAGCCCATCGAGAAGCATTTGTCGGATTATGTGAAAATTATGAAATACACTGATCTCAATTCGTGGAGTGTGAAATCATCCGCACAGAAATCGCATCAGCAACTCTTCCGCCTCATTAAGCAGTTTAAAGCAAGTGTTTTTTTTTCTTGTAATCAGATCTGGAAGACTAACAGTCAAGGCCCCTCAACAGCATAATCAAATCTCTTCATCAGTGTCATACTGAGGTACAGAAAAAAGACACGTGGAGGGGAGAGAGCAGCTAGGGTCTTGCATCCCATAGCTATTTTCCAACACTTTTCTTATCCAATTCAATAAGCTTGTGGTGCGAAACTGTTCGGTAAATGGTTTTCAAAGGATAATTTTTTTTCAAAAAAAATCAAAAAAATTTTTTTTAGGAAAAACAAAATTCCTTCAGAATTTTCGGAAAAGAATTTCCAAAAATCAAAGAAAGTATTTTCAAAGTTTAGCTATAAGCAACAGCTGTAGAATGTGATTACTGACTATCTGACTTTTAAAATAGGAGCCCCAACATATCATGATTTCATTGTTTCTCGGTGACGATATAGCTTAAGCCAGATTAAGCTTTAGCCAGATATAAGGTTGCATTGCGTATTTGTTGAATTGCCACTCGTCTTTGTCCCTTAGACGCTTTGCAAATATGTTTACATCGGCCGGAGCATGCAGACTCTTTTCTGTTAATAGCTGTGTTCGGATCTGCCCAAACCTACAGTGTATAATAAAAAAAGTGTTCCAGTAGGCTGTGATCGTATGCTGAACATACCGCAGGAGCTCGTTGCTGAGCATCAAACTTTTCTGTTGTCCGTTCGTTGTTGCGAAAAACAGTTTAAATAGTACTAAATAATATTTTTTGCAAATTTCAGCTTCTTGGCAACGAGCTTGTAGCCCCGTTGTTCGATGAACTTCTTCCAATGCCAGGTGTTACAGTGCTACGACCGATAAAGTGTCCATATCCACATACTGAGACATTATCATGCACTGGTCCCAGCGAATCCGTCACGAATGCTGCATCTGAAATTCTCACTCGACTGGAGGTTGATGCTGCTAAGCTGGAGCAAATCGAAAAGGTAACTTTTGAACTGGAAAATATTTTGATGCACATTTTGAAAGTGCTGGCAATAAAGCATTGATCAGCTTTATATACTACCTCTCAAAAGTTAGACGGGTCCAGGGCTATCGCCTAGGCGGAGAAAGCGACAGGGAGTACCAAAGAGGCTTTTCTGCAGTAAAACAACTGCTACCTAAGTATTAGAAAATGTTGCATTGCTGCTGATAGGGTGTAGCGACAAGAGGTAAGAGGAATAGAACAGTCGATTT